TATATATATATATATATATATATAACAATAAAACAACACACAAAATAGAAATAAAAACTAAACTAGAATAAATATGAGATGCACAGACTATAAATAAATGTATAAGTATAAAAAATAGATATAATAAGGGGGAAATGTTGTAGATCAATAAAATAGGCCTGTCTGAATAGGTAGGTTTTTAGCTTATTCTTAAAAATGCATATGGAGCTACTGCTTCTTATATCAAGCGGAATACTATTGCAAAGTCTGGGGGCGTAGATTGAAAAGGCACGTTAACCATACGATTTAATATTGTATGGAGGAACAGCTAATAAGAGCTTAGAAGGAGGCTTAATGATGCCTATTATGCAACTCATTTGACCTTAGTTACTCAGTCTTGGTTTCTTCGTTTGTTCGCGTCTGTGTTTTAGTCGTAAATCCCGCTTCTGACAACCATGTAAACAACCTTCAACTACGTGTATTTTATTTTATTAACAACATCAACTTTACAAACTACATGTGTTATACATGCGGGGAGCTGGGAAAATACTGGCTAATGTTGCGGTGGGGGAATCGAGGGTAGGTACCCAATGATTTGTCTTTCATTAGTCTTTCCGGAACTACGGAAAACATTTATACAGATGCCTGTACTTTTACTCTTTCTGATGTTCACATTTTCGCGTGATCTTTTTAGTTTTCTTGCGACTTCTTCGTCTGCCAATGCAAAACATGAAGCCACTTTGGCTTGCAAAAAAGTAAAGTTTACAGTTTTCAAGCGTTTCTAGGCAACTGAACTACCAATTATAATCTAGTAATTCGGCCCCGCGAATTACGAAAAAAGAGCCCTTCTTCATTAGCCAATTAGCATCGAGTAATTTTGCTCTGTATGTGATAAAGATATYAATTTATAACTTTTTTAAAATTATTCGTTCATGAGGATTGACATCCGGTTTGAGAGAATAGCAAATTATAAAACTGACAGATTCTTAAAGCCAAAATACAATTAAGCAAGCATCCAAGTGTGCATTAACAATGGAATACTTCGACGATAAGGCAGCCATCTTGCCAGGAGGCAAAACAAAACAAGGATGACGAGGGTCGTTTATGAGCAAAGGTGATATAAGTGCTGTCTTAATTCATATTTCGTTGTACTCTCTGGTACGTGCCCATGGTGAGCTGTTAATATCAACGACGTCATTACTTTCTTTTGTTCCTTTTTCCAACAGCTATGGCATTTAACTTATATATCAACAAAAACAAGAATCCTAAAGCAACYATCGAAAATGCTATGAAATGCTATGCCTGAAACGTCATCAGAGACTAGAGTCACAAGCATCTGTTAGATCTTTTCTTAAAAATAAGGAAAATTGTCAGAGAAAAGTCCCCAACTATCCATTAAATCGTAAAAAAGGATTTTAAATAAAATTTTAAAGTAGAAATTTGAACTCCTAAGGGGAGTACTGTAATGTTAATTGTGCAACAATGGCGAATTGTTTTATCCCTGAAATGATGTTGATCGGTTTGCCTTCATACCTACCGATATTACGAATACTCTCATTGGTTGAAAGATCATGACCACATGACACTTCCTAAATCTAAAAGTATCCCGGGCGGGAACTAAGTTGCACGTGACAAGAAAGGTGAAATAAATAAGTTCACGATAAATTGCATGATCACAACGTTAAAAAATATGGCGGCATGATTTTGCTGGAATTTAAGTACGAATGGAGCTCAAAGCAAAATACGGACTTAAATCGAATAAAAAAGAATTTGAAAAATACGATAAAAGCGGCTAAAAATGCTGTTGCTACTCTCCTTCGCTTTTTGGTAACGAAATACTAGACGGTATATTTTGTAAAATCATTTGTCAGTTTTCATGCATTTAGCTTGCTATATAAAGTTCTTATTTCGTTAAACGACTTCTCGGAAACAAAAGTTTTCCGTCCACACATGAAAACGGATAAAATGTTTCGCGTCCACACTAGTCTGATCAGAGACGGCAAAAACGCTTCATTTCACATCTGAGCATGTGCATCGAAGCTGAAATTGAGCCTGCGGTGAGTTTTTAGCCTTCCTGCCATGTTCTCATGACAATCATGACGTCATCGTATTCGAAGAAATTCGGATACGAAATGTTCTCTGCCAAACTAATACGGCTAGCCGGCGTTTTCAAATTGTTCCACTCTGGAGACCTTATTCGAAAAAATTCGTTTTCAATGAAGAATTGTTCYGGATTCGCCCGGATTAGTGTTGGACGGTAGGCCTAGCCAAATAAATAAAAATTCGGATTCAAATTTATCCGGCATATAGTGTGGACGGGGCCTAAGTGTATGATGTACACAAATAACTTACTCGTATTAAAAGAGAATATAATTCGTTATTAAACATGTGATTCACCATGTTGGTGTTCTTGTGATAAAATGATTAGTCGTTACATCCAAATTACCTATCCATATTAAATGAGAATATAATTCGTTTATAAGCATGGGATTCACCATGTTAGTGTTCTTGTATAATAAAATGTATTTCCTACATCCACAAGTAAAAAGACACTATTAAGATCCCACAAAACCATGCCTGGCTTCCCGCAACTTTTCCAGCAGCACCCTTCACTGCAGATATGTTGACGGTGTCGTAAGGTATGATGGTTAGGGATGTACTGTACTTCAATGAAATTTGCGTACTGGCATTCACTGTGGGTGCTATACTTGGAACTCTCTTCAACGATGATTTGCTGTTATTGTTTATATCTACACTGCTTGGTAAAGAAGGTGCTATAGTTTGCTTGAGCCCAGACTCGTCGGATACAACGTACGAGGTTAAACTGGTCAGATCGTCAATGTCAGACATATTTCCTGGCCGTTTATCGATGGCTGAATGCTTCGCAGATCTGTAAATTGTGCCACTCGAAGGCTTGACAATGAAAGCATTTGTACTATCGTTAAATATGTTGGTAGCATTTGAACTCTTTGGTGTAGATTCTTTATTGTGATTATCTATGTATTTTGTCATTCCAGGAAGAGTTGTTGAGGTGGGGCTTGGATGAATACTTGATGTCATGGATGCTGAAGAAGAACGATTGACTGGAGGAATGCGCACCACTGAGGCACCACCTATTAGAAATAAGATAGAGGATCGTATCATCATCATCGTATCATCGCGATATCCAAATTGAATTCAATATAGAAACTGAATTAGAAAAATATTATGAATGCTTAAACGCAAGACATTTTTTTCGGTATACTGAGGTTTGTTAAATATACAACAAAGGAAGTGGCGTGGCAGTGCAAACAACATTAGTAGCAAAGATGACCGTTAAAATATGTATTTGACGTCATTGTCGTCTACTTTGTAGACCCAAAGTAAAAATTTGGTCATTAAGTCAGCCAACATAACGCGTGTCCCTTCAGTTTTTTTTTTCTAATGAAAAGGAATAATTAAAGAAGATCTTTTATCAGGAATCAAAACGTCTACTGATAGTAAAACCAGAAGATGTCACACAAAACAAGTAAAGAAATCATAAACAGTCAATTAGGACATGATTCCCCAGGCAGCGCAATCTCGGCTTTTGACTATGATTATTGCGAAAAATCGATATTTATTATTCATTCTTTATTCGTAATAAAATCGTCCAATAGATTTGTATAAAACTTCTTGTGCCTATTTTAGTTTTTCGTACATCATAAAAAGTGCCATACAATCTATTAAATGATTTGATTACGAATAAAGAATGATTCATAAATATTGAATTTTTGCAATATCAGTATATACAGACAGAAAAAAAACAACAAAAAACAAAAAAACACGAGATTGTAACGATTCGTGACTGCAATTTCAAGAAAAAGAGGAAAGTTATAGAGCCTTTATATGACTGACGTAACTTTCATGAAAAAGAAAATTTCTAGGTCCAAAACGGACAGCATTGCTATGGATGTTTTTTCGCACTTTCTCCTCATGACAGGATTATTTGTTGTTCAAAGTTTTAGTTGTTTCAAGTTTAGGGTAAATATCAGAGAAACTTTAACAGCCACTATCCCACTATCGATCATTTGATCATTCTATGGATTTGGATATCTTTACCAGTTATTTCTTGGATGTCTGGATCCGAGCATTCACCATCTCTCGAGTCACAGTCTGTACCATCTGCGCCTGTCCCTGAAGTAGCTATATCACACAAGTCTTCGTCATCAATCCCTTYACAAAGGTATTCTGAACTATGACCTGTTTTCCTTGAGCAATCCACATTACGGGTAGGGTTAGTAGTGATGAGATGGAATAATGAGCTAGCATTTAAGACAGCTTCACCAACCTGTTGAAATATGTTTCTGTGCATGGTTTCATTGATGACATTGAATTCATCAAAATACAAGTGTTGTAGGAATCCAGTGTAGTTGGTTCTGGACAGCGAACGATTAAATGCACTGTTCAGCGGTCCGCCACCAAAATACATCCTCGCTTTTCCTCCTTTAAAGTCAAGGAACGAGAATTTTCCAGGAATGGTTGCGAAGACAGGTCTTTGGTCATCTACCGCGATTTTTATACGTCTTTTTGCTCGTTTAATCGTAACCATATGCCAGGCACCGTCGTGTAGACACCCTTCACGACTCATTAACACGAGTCCACCTGTAGCAAAAGAAACGACGTTGGTTAATATGTCATAACATTACATTTACATTTCAATTTGGTTCTTTCACTTTTAGGGGAATAAAAAAATTGAAAATTTATTTCCCGATCATATTTTCACATTTCCGTTTTATCTAAATTGGGCTTCCTGTGTCCATTGTAAGCTCCGCTTTTAGGCAGTGCCTAAATTTATGTATTACTCATTCAGTGTTATCTTACCTTGACCGAGATCCCAACTCAGTCTCAGAAAACCATCCATCAATTCCACTATCACGTGATCATCAGCAACATCAGTGAACATGAATACTCCTCGAGGTTGAGTAGTCGCAAACCGAAACGATATGTCGTTCCCCAAGGTCGATCGGTCAGGATGGTAGGCGCCTACGTCATATAATATGTATCCACTTGCATTAAACCACATCGAGGCAGAAGCTGCGGAGAAAAAACAATTCTAATCAAGTTTGGTCAGTATGATTAGTAAGGGTATTCCGTCATGGACATTGTTCACAAACACAGAAACAAATTGCAAAAAATAATATAGAAGTTGTTAATTATCGTGCCACTGTTATCAGCGTTTAATAGAAAAGTTATCTTTTTTCATTTGGTGGGCTGGAAATTAGACTGATCCCATAAATCGGTGTTTTCGCTCTTTTGTCGATGTCGCTAACACACCGACTTATCACATTACTTGGTCCATTTTGAACAACGTCGCCACTATAAGGCGATCTCCAATCACGTTGCTCATCAGTGTGTTATTCCAATGCAGCTACGTTCATTTGAACCTACATTTGTAAGCTCAATAATTTCTTACTTCTTCTGCGTTTTTTATTTTATTCATTTCAAATTCAGTAACTTTATTAAGTTATATATAAATAGACAATTAGTGGACATAAAGCGTGGAAACGCTAAAAATATAAAAACCTTCTAACGGCTTAGAGGAAATTTTACTTCCGGCTTATTTAAAATTCGCGAGCCTCGTTTTCGTTTGCACAAAAAATTAGTAAAAGTGTGATAAGTCCGCTAGTTGCAATTGAGCGGGAACAAGCCACAAAGGAGCGAAAACTACGGCTTATAGAATCAGTCTAGCTGGAAATTCACAATTTCAAAAGTAATATAGCATTTTTTCCCCAAATTTCCTCGATTCTGATTCGCTGGCATCCGCTGTTATCAAATCAGCTGGACGTTTGGTTTTACTTACATTTGGAACACATTAATCCTTCGTATCCGCTACCAAGACAATCACACTCCACTCGTCCTATCTCATCAATGCACTTTCCTTTGTTTTTGCATTTATTAAGTTGTGGCAATGAACACGAGCTGTTGCAGCCAATCTCTGTTGACTTGGTAGTGACGACGTCAGCCAGCCTTAGTCTTCCTTTTCTGTCAGTAAACCACAGGTCTCCAAGACAACCATTAAATCTGTCAAAACAGATAGTCAGTCACGTGATCTCATTTACACAACATTGAAATTATAATTAGTTTTGATTCTTTTAAATAATCTCATGAATAACGTAGACTCGTACCCAGTCGTCATTCACGCTTTTTGAAATGAACTCACTAAATCCTTACCATCCACCACGACCTGAGATCAAGAAGAGAAGAGAAGCCAGCGACTGGATACGAGTCTTATCAAAGCGCTAAAACTATATGGCTCGTTATATATCATTAAAAAGAATCGCTTAAAAATATACCTGCAACATAAAGGAAGTCAATATAACCAAGTTGAATTTTTTCATTATATATATATAGCTCTTATTAACCGAGTGCGAGGTCCGTACCGTAAGTTATGGACCGAGTTTTTTCCACTGCCTTATGGCCCAAGCGCGTAGCGCGCGGGCCATAAAAAAGTGGAAAAAACGAGGATCCATAACTTACGGTACGGACCGAGCAAACGAGGTTAATAAGATATTTGTTATATGGCAAGGCATTGAGATCAAAAAGAGGCGAAGCAACAAAAAGTAAAGTTGACAGCGCATGTCAAACGAGAACTGCATTGGAA